TAAGAATTCATGAAAGAAAGTGAAAAATATGTCAACCATAATACATATCTAGTGCTAAATATCAAGGCTAATCAGGCTGGCTGGGATATGAAAGACATAGCAGTGGTCTAAGTGATATATACAATAAATTTTCATGAACAATGACTGTTATGGTGTAAACCAGTTTAAGCGGTCAAATTGTAATCATTATCAATTTTATTTAAGACATTTTCATATCATATTCTTACGATAAGAATTAATAACACAATATTATTTTAATTTCAACATTAATTATTTATTTATTATTATATGTGATATTGCTTCACAACATAACAGATAATAATTTTAATTACGCATCCTTCTTCACTGGACTAGTAGGAATTTTCAGTACGAAAAATGTATAACAGCATTTCAATTACACTTAAGTGTTGTATGCTTTTTTTCCCCTTGTTGAAAATACTTATAGGTCTACAGACATAAAATTGATAAATTCTTAAATCTATAACAATAGTTAGAAGACAGAATAAAAATGCTTATTGGAAACGTGCAAAGATAGTGAAAACAATAAAACTATGTTCCTCAACTGTCTTAACAAATTGATACTTATGACTTTTTTACTATACTTTTATTAAACACTTGTAGACTCGTTTGACTATTTTACAGCCAATATTTTATAATAAAAAAATGTTGGTTCATTATCACTTCAATCAAAATTTGAGCTTGTAAAAAAATTATAAATTACACAGGTCTGCAAATTTAAACTTCATAAATGTTGTTTTGGTTTTAATAATGGATTTTTCATAACTCAGCTATGCAGATTTCGAATATTATTTTTTTTTCTATCATGTAAAATTTTTTTACAAATCGGGAAGAAAAAGAAACTTTTACTTATATCAAATTATTATTTCGTTTATCACAATGAACATATTTTATTATTATGTTTGTTAACAAAAATACAAACAAACTGAAGAAAAGGGAAGATCATTTATGTTAAACGAATATGCATCCTCATTCATCCTGATTTTTTTTTTGTGAAATCTACATCTTTTAGTCTCAAAAATACATGTTGTGGTCTTTCTTTTATGTTTTACGACATTTTGTGAAAAATCTGTACACGATGGAGAAAAATGGATATTTTTGGATTCAGCGTAAAGGAATTACTGAAGAACATGTAATAATTTCAATTTGAATATTTTGAATGCAATTAGAGTCAAGCTCAACAGGGTCTTCTTTCCCTGTTGATTTTTTCAAACCCGTTCCCTTGGCTGTGGTTTCGCTAGATAGTAGATAGGGACAGTGGGAATCTGGTTAATCCTTTCATGCGCGTCACTAATTAGATGACGAGGCATTTGGCTGTTATATCTACAGGAATTACTGTAGAACATGTAATGATTTCATGACAATAAAACCATCGCAGGCCTGTGTTGTTATGAAAATAAAGGAACCACTTCTTGCTGGATCGATAACTAACCTGTTGAGCTTCCTTTTGTAAATTCCGTAGCTTAGCCGTAGATTCCAGCAGAAAATTTATCGGTGTGGATTTTCCAAGAACTGGCTCAGTTCCTGGTTTTCTGAGACTAATGTCCACAACTTGAGGATTAGCACTCAATTTATATAGCTCCTGTCAGTAAGAAATCAAAAGTTTTAGTATCTTGGTCTCACCAAATTTTTATTTTTCTATACTACAGTGTTATGGAAGTAAAAAAAATCTTGTTATCCTAGATGATTTATTTCTTAAGCCGTCTAAGCATCATGATGTTGCTTGTGGCAGGGCAAATAGGATTTTAGGTTGTATCTACAGAAATATTGAATAAAATTCTAAAAATGTTATAATGTCATTGTATAGGTCATTCATTGGTTAAACCACATTTGGAGTACTTTAGATAGGGCACCGAGTTGTTGGAAAGGGCTCAGAGGAGGATTGCCAGGATGACACCTGGGATGGAAAGGTTGATATACAAGGATAGGTTAAGATCTCTGAAATTGTTTTCTCTTGAGTTAGATGGGCTATAATTAAGAAGTTTAAGATTTTTAAGGGAATTGATAGTGTTGATGCATCAACTGTTTTCATATTTAATGTGAGAACAGTAGGTCTAGGGGGACAAAAATATAAATTTTGGCAGGGAAGGAGTTATCTTCAGTTAAGACAGCTTAATTTTTCTAATAGGATGGTGGAATGGGTTGCCTTCAGATATGGTAGATGTAGTTAATTTAAGGGAGTTTAAATGAAGGCTTGATAAATATTTGAAAGATAAGAGCTTTGAGCACTTTCTTTTCATTTTAGGGTTTAGTATAGTCAATGGGACGACGCAGATGGACCAATCGGTCCTTTGTTGTCCTTAAACTGTATGAATGTATGTATAAAGAAATGAGCACTAACAACATCACTGATCAAGAGTCACTATCAGAGTTAGTATTCAAGTATTATCTCACTGAAATACATAGATGTAAGTCTTGACTATCTAACAAGTGCTTCCATGTGTGTGGATTTGTTTTATTCTCGTTACATGTTATATGATACATGAAATTAATTTCATCTTAGGATACGTTTAAGGTTATACAGGTCCAGATTCACATCTTACATAATATCCACTATACTATGTTGTTTTGCCTCTTTATGGTCCCATAGTTTTATTGACCTTTGACTCCCCATATTTCAACTTCTATTGCTTATATGTTTTAATATGTTATGAAGTTCTCTATGAAAATGTTATAAAGTTAAAATCAGAACTGGTACTGGGTGGGGTCTTTCTCTATATATCAGTATTGTATCTTGCAGAATTGATGCAGAATTAACACAAATTATTGTAAATTTGTCTACTAGTATTGTACTTTTATCTAAAATTGATAAATTTCATTTACTCACAAATTCTCTACTTACATTGAGAAGAGTAGTAGTTCGTTTTCCCAAATGACTTATCTTTTCTCTGCACTGCATGGGCTGTTTCCCATCTATTTCTTTTTCAAACTCCACCATATTTTTCAGGCCTGTCAAGGAACCAAGTCCTGTAGGTTTTGATGGAAGCACCAGTGGCGGAAGATCTGCAAGTTGGTTCTGAGGGAAATTTACTGATGTTAACACTAACTTTATAAACATGTTATACAAAAAAAAATTGAAATTCAACACCAATAATAAGAAATCACACTGTCAACACTGGGAACAAATAGTTTTTACAGGTGTTTTACAAGTTGTTTCAAGAAGGCCAAAATAGGCTTAACACTAACTTTATAAACATGTTATACAAAAAAAAAATATAGAAATTCAACACCAATTATAAGTAATCACACTGTCAAAATTGGGAACCAATAGATCTTACAGGTGTTTTACAAGTTGTTTCAAGAAGGCCAAAATAGGCAGGAGAAGGCTATTCAAGCCAAAACTCAACCATACTTTACAGGTTTTCAGGCTAAAATATTTACCATACTTTTCTTTTTAGCTTTTCACTATTCATTACATTCTATTTTTGAAAAGTACACATTTATTGGCAATTGCAAATTGGCATTAAGGGACCAGCCAGAGCAATATCACTAACAGGATCCCAATGATTTTTCACATGGTGATATATTGTAAATTTTTAAGGATGCATCAAATGCACTAGCCCACCAGGCATGCCTGGTGTTCCTGTGGGCCAATCTGCCCCTGTTTATTGGTAATACAGTGTGTGTATATATGATAGTGATTAATAAACATTCATTCGCGATGAGCTCAGTTTAAAATATATGAGTTCGTACACACATTTGCACACAAATCGCAAATATTATTTAAGTAATCTCTAAAACCTTTTAAATACATTCCAAATGTTTGTTTTCAGTAAAATTTTATATTTTGTCTGTTATTTTCTCTACCCTAACTATACAGGGTCTGTCAATTTGACCAACCTCGTAACCACCATAAAATTTAGGAAATAAATATAAATTATTCTTTTTTCATTCTAGAATGACTACAAATTATAACACAAAAACACAAATGTTTAGTCTAAGTAGCTTAAATCTCATAACATTATATAATTATTACTTTTATTATATTGACCTCCCAGCCATGCCTGGCTAACAGTACAGAAGTTACAACGATGCAGTGCACGTGCACTCATGTTACCATATCCAAGAATATAAAACTGGCCTTTACAAAATTACCTGTCTTGGCTGTGTTTTAGTAGACTAATATTTTGTAAAATACAGTCACATTTCAGTAATAATACATTATATATATATGTATAAACATTATTACTATTTATAAATAAGTTCTTAAACTTATTTTTCGTAAAACATAGAACAGAAAATAAAGAAAGCAAACAATTATCTCTTCTAGTTACTACCTTTGTACATGGTTGCTGCTTGACATAGGTTGCTAAGCCTTTTAAAATTTCACACACGGAGGATATGAAACAAAATACTTTTTCTTAGGTTTTATATATACAGTTGAATAAATTACTATATCAATAACATAGAATTCCACTATAATTTATCAAGCTTAGTAACCAAGCTGTATTTTGGTCTAAAAAAATATGAAGTTTTGAACAGACTAAAGACAAAACCTACCTTCTTGAAATTTTGTTTCGAAAGAATGAGATGGCATCCTAACACTTAAAAATGGGCTGAGAAAGCCACTAGGGGGACATTTTGAGCTTTTGATTGGTTATTCACACATCACATACACAAGTAAGTGTATATAAGGGACTGTTTCAAAAAATGGAAAGAGGTGAGTGGAGCCACTGATCGATATCTCAGCAAATAGAAAAGATAGGAGGTTCTTATTTTATATCCTAGCTTGATAATATCAGTAAATTGAGTTCCTAATTTGTAAGAAACTACTATACTTTGCATTTGGACATCACAAACATCTAATTTGAACCACTGCTGCATTCAACATACCACATGACACGTAAAAGTAGTTGAATCTTGTTGATTTAGATGTTTGGGTTTGAGCTTTGTTCACAATCATGGTTGTAATTTGTTTCTTGCATATTCCAGGATTACAAGTTCCACAAAGGCAAGTCTGAATACGAGGATGTGCTTCAGTGTAACAATCTTCCCTCCTCACGAACACCACGTGGACATCAGACTCCATCAGCTTTCCTGATAATGTCGTCAGGTCTAGATAAGGTGAGTAGCCCCACGTGGATCACCCGTAAAAATCGGTTTCACCATTTGTGAAAAAAAAAATTTGGTTCTTGTTTGAAAACTAAAAATCATGATTCAGCTTCAAATTACCGAGCAATAATAATGTTGGATCTTGTTTATTTAGATATTTGGGTTTGAGCTTTGTTCACAGTCGTCAATGAAGTAGCTTATGGGAGATTATAGAAATACTTGTAATACCAAATATGCTTATACCGTATTTTTCGGAATATAAGACACACCCTTATTTTGAAGACAAAGTTTTGGGGAAATAAAAAAGCTACAGTCGCATTTGAAAGATTCTTATTGAACAAGAATTCAATTTGATACTTTAAAAATTAGTATATATTGTTCTAAACACAAAAGAAAAAAAACTACTATTGTTGTAAATAACCCATTCAATTGAACTAAACTATGCATGCCTATTTAAATATATTTACACATGGATTGTGTATATCGTATATATTCATACCTTCGGTGTATAGGACGCAAGCAGAGTTTGACATCAAATTTTGGGGTAAAAAAACAGTGCGTCTTATACACCGAAAAATACTAATTCTTGAAATATGTTCTTATCAAACTATTTTTAAATAGCTCGCAAAGAAGACTTCTGTTCCGATACTTGTATAGTTGTAATGTAGTTGCTTAGAAGAAAAATCTAGTTAAAAAAAAAAAAGAATACTGAAATGCAACTGAAAGAGAGAGAAAGAGAAAACGTTTTAATAATAGTTACATTATTTTGTTTGCTGTCTGAATTTTTATCTGGCTGTATCACTTGTTATAAGAATATAATTGTGTAACAATAAGACAATGAAACTGTTTTTATTAACCAACGATGTAATGATACTCTGAACTTGTTTTTTCTTTGTTGTCACGCAGCCTTGTTGTTTAAATTGTTTGTAACTGGCAAGTAATGCAATTTTTTTTTTGTTTTTCTAATTTTTAGTTAGTGGATAATTGTTTTTGATATTTCTAATAATGACTTTATTGATTCGTCTCTTATTTGAAGCACGGCATCGATGCTGAGAAACCGTTAAAATACTGTCACATCGATATTGCTGCATCGGCCGGACCGTTTCCCGGTATACCCAGTGGAGCACCCGTTGCAGCGCTGACATCGAGGTTCCTGCTTTCTCGGATCTAAGCAGAGGAGCCACAATCTTGTCGTAGGTTGTCGTCAAGCACAATTTTTTTTTTTGTTGTTGTTTTTTTAAATTCCTGGTTTCTCAAAGGGTATCTGAAAAAAAAAAAAAATCCAATTTTTCATATATTGGTGGACAGAATTTTAAACTTTCTTTAAAGGGGAAGTGTAGGAATGAATATCCAAGTCCACTGCTATTTCTTGTGGAAAATGTTTTGAATCATCTTCCAGATGTATACAGCTTCGTCCTTGACAAATTGTTCATCCACAAGGAAGAAGGTTGTGTCCAGACAAATTGCTTGGTGTTGCTCGTCTATTTTATATTCTAGTGAGCATAATTTAAGTGGTTATGAAATTTCAAGGAATTCTTTTGGAAATAAAGTTGTTACTTTAGAGATGCATGAAAATATTACTTCTTTTACACCATTAATCTTCTGTGTATAACCATACATGTATGCATAGAACAATAGCCCACGAGTTCCCAAACTAGGAACGACAGAAGAGTGTTGGGGAGATTGTAGTAATTGCACAATACTGTTAAGGTGCTCTGTGTGTGTTAAGTTAATTTGGGGTTGTGTGTGTGTGTTAGGATGTGGAATGATCAGTAGCTTATTCGTTAACTCTTATGAAAGGGGAACAAAATATTCATCTAAAGTGTGTATATGTGTGAGTACGCACGCAAACACAGTTGAGTTTAGTATTACGCATTCGACTGCATGTACACAAACTATTTTTTTTTTATTCGTTAGCACAGTTGGGGAAATTAGAAATACAAAATTTGTCAAGTGATCAATGAGTAAAAGTTGAGGTTAAAGCAGAGCCGAGTATGAGTAATCGTTAGATGATCAAATTTCAGCATAAGATAAAATGGAACTTTCTCGAAGGTCTAAGATCTTGTGAGTAATCGTTAGCTGACCAATTTTCGGCATAAGATAAAATGGATTTCAAATGGAACTTTGGAAGGTCTAAGATCTGGTTAGCCAGAATCAAGAGGATTGGTGATGAATGCTGGAGTCGTTAAATTGGCGGTTTACAACTCTTCAAATTCACGAAGCAATAAAAATCCTACAGCAAACTCCCATGATCAACAAACAATCGACAGGAACTGCACGCACACTG